ACATCTTCTATTGCTGATACAAAAGGCAAAAGAAAACATAAAAATTAGGTATGAGATAGAATGCAATTAGCACGAAAATGAAAAGCATATTGAGGAGATTTTTTACTAGCCTTGTGTTGCATGTTCTTGTAATATGTTCCTATAAGAGTTAAGAGAAGAAAATAAATTCAAGAAAAAACTGCAAGGACAAATTTCCAACATCTTAATGTTGTTGGTAACAAATAAAGTTCACAAAGAAATAAGTTGATTCTAAAAGAAAAAAAAAGTTGCAGAAACCATAATCTAGGCTAATCATTCTCACTAGTCATCTCAATCAATTGTTTAAATTGTTTTGTTCTATCTATGGACATGTTTTGAAGTTTTTTATACTTGAGCATTTAACCAGATAGTACTAGCTCTTGGAAATGGATTCCAAGAGCTACTAGTTCAGCACCAACAACTAAGAAACAAACATAGCCCTTTTAAATGATTAACCAAGTGATATCCCAACTCAATTCTAATCCAAGTACACCTATATCTTACAATACAAATTGAAGTTGCAAGGGAAAAATGTTGTACATAGAAAAAAGTTACAAAGAACAAAGATTTGTACTAGTTACTGATGTAGTGCGATCCGGTCACTCCTAATTGGCACTTGCGTGGCTCCTAAGAGGTACCTGGGACGAGAGGGAAGAAGAAGTTCGCCCGGGGGTTTGCCCGGTGGGAACACTCCGATGATTAAGTTTGTACTTTGTGCAAGAAGCGAAGGCTAAGAGTGAAGATTGCACAAGTAATTAGAAGATACCTTGTTCCTTGAGAATAAGCCCCTTATAACTGAATTCCGTTGCTTCAGGCCCTCTGCTTCTGACAGGGTAGGTATAACCGCCATTGTCAGTCTGCCACAACCGTTACTGGCAAGGCTGAGGTGGCACACACGGGGCTGTCATTGTAGGGTACGCGCCTGTCAGGTATGAGACACCTTTCTGAAGGTGACAGGCGCGGTGCTTTCTAACGAGGGACATGTCTGCTGTCCACAGATTTGTCGGGCACGACGGTTGAGCAGGAAGCCTTCCTGCAGTACGCTGAGCTACCCTTCTGCGAATTACCCTGAGCCGGGCTGTCTCTTGAGTGACGTGCTGCCCGTAGCAAGTTATGCCGAGCTGGCTGACCCGAGGTGTCCATGCCTCGGGGTGTCTAGAGAGGGATCGTCGTGTTCCTATCTGGGAGTGGCCCAAGGTTCATTGGGAGGAGCTGGAAGAATGGTAGGATCCATCTAATGGACGCCATAAAGGTTGCGGAATGGGTGGGGCGAATTTCAAAAATTTCCTACCT